TGAAGATGAAGATTGGTATGGAGGTGGAGAAGACGATGAAGATGAAGACTAGTCTGGAGGTGGAAAAACGGTTCAAAAAGAGAAAACGAGACATGATAGTTTTTTTCTATATATCTAGGGAATATGTCGGGGGTTCCGAGGGGGTAGCGCTCCTGCAGGGGTTTTCGAGGGCAACGCCCCCGGAACAATTTTTTATTGTAAGAGTAATTTTTAAGGTCTTCATGTTTTTAAAATTTGTAAGTCATTTGTACTCAGTGATTTGCATGCAGTAGTAAAAGTGTAATGTTTGTAAGTTGCTTGTACTCAGTGATTTGCATTGTAAATTTTTCAGTGATGTGTATTACAGAAACTATATGGAAAATGGTTATTTTATTGTGTATTGCTATATATTATTGATGTGTACGGTTACTGTGTACCGCTCAGAAACATATATCATCAATGGAAAGATACCAAGTGGTACCGAGCATTATTGTACCAAGCATGTACCTAGCAGTTCCAAGCATGTACCTAGCAGTACCGAGCATGTACCTAATAGTACTTAGCAGTAATGAGTATGTATTTAGCAGTACCGAGTATGTACCTAGTGGTACCGAGCATGTACCGAGCGGTACATGAGCGGTACACAACAGCATACAACATTAAAATGAACAAAACATCACGTAAATGAAAGCAAAAAATGAGTTTTTCTTTTTCCTTCAACGAGCAATACTAAATAACTTTGTATTTCACATAAAATTTTATAGAGCATGCGTTTAATACTAAACATCACATAAACGAAAGTGAAAAATGAATAATAATTACATCTGAGAGAATAAATAAACGTCCACAAATTTATCATTTTACATAAAATTTTGCATAGTTGATTTACATAAATCATTCTTACCTAGTTTATAAATATATTTCAAAGTTAGAATAAATACATAGAATTAACAAATCACCAAAAATCAAGTGTGAGACATACATGCATTTATGCATAAATGAATCAATTACATAGATACAAAAAACTTCTCTTATTCATCTTTTGCTTCTCCTAACATTTATTCATAAATAATTCAAAAGAAATCCAATCAAATATGTATTTAGTAAGCGTGTTGTTCAAAATATTGAAGCCATCTTCTATGCTTACGAGCTTATCAATGAAATAATCTAAGTGTTTAAATTCGGCCATAAACTTTCTGTGATCCAAAGGGTCATCGAACTTGAATTGAGTTTCCTTTAACTTCTTAAGTTATTATCAAATTGTGGTTGTAGGAGTCTCATTTTTGGTTCGTTTGGGATGGCTTTTTATTATTTCTTAAAGCTATTTTTTAGTACAAAAATTAAAAATTTTGTACTAAAAAGATGTTTTAAAAAACAGAAAGAAAGCTATTCCAAACAAATCCTTTGACTTCTTTTGGGACAACTTTCTTAAAGCTTTTTAAAATTGTTTCTTAGTTTTTTTTTTTTTTTGTTGAATTAGAAAAATTTGTTCTAGAAAGCTGTCTTAAATAAGCAATGAAAAACTGTCCCAAACAAAGCCTTTATTTTGAGATGACTTAGGTCATTTGGGACAGCTTTCTTATTGCTTTATAAAACAACTTTTTAGTACAAAATTTTTAAACTAAAAAAAAAAAATTGTACTAAAACATTGATTCATAAAACAATGTGAAAGCTATCTCAAACGAAACTTTATTGTTATCTTCGAGAAAATTTATTTTATCTTTAATCACAGTAATAATCTCTTCCAAAAGCTTTTCAATAATTTTATTGGTTTGATCTTTAGAATGGTTCACCTTCTTCCCAGTTGATTGAACCTAATCCATATAATGCCTTAATTTATACTTTAGAAATTGGATTTAATTTAGATAGTGCTGCGGCTTATCATGACAGATTGAACTTCAACTTTAAGATCTTTATTCTTGATTAGCAACAATGATCAAAATCAATATGAAATTTTCAGAGTTACCTGAACTTCAGTATTAGCCCTTATTTCAGTGTAAATGATGATTTCCTTTTCCTCAACTAAGTTTCAATAACCTTTCATTCATAGCTAGTGTTAACGGACCTGTTTAAGCTATCATGAGCTTTCCAACTAGTTCAGTCCACTACTCTGCCTCTAACAACTTCTGTACGGAATTCATCCTAGCCGTCTCTTTCTGCTTCCATCTGGACGGTTGATTATTAAGCTAAACCCATATAAATGTAATGTAATAGAGAGCTACAGTAGAGAAGAACGAAAGATCAAACGAGATTACTCCCTTCGAAGGCGAATTCGCTACCTGCTTCTCTCTTCCTTTGCTTTTGCTTGTTTCTCTAACTTGCAGGTCTGAAGATTCAACATGGTATCAGAGCCATTCCAGTTTCGTTGAACTCTGTCATCTTCGCTTAGCATGGACGGAGCTGGATCTTCGTCTACGGATTCTACTGAGCCGTCGCAGACTACGACGGAAGTCGTTATCCCCGCTCAGTTAAAATATCTGATGTCATATGTAAAGACAGTTTTGAATGTGCAGCTTACAGCGGACAATCATCCCATATGGCGTTCTCAGATCTACAAACTGTTTGCTGCAAATGGTTTTCTTGGTTACCTAGACGGCTCCAATCCAAAACCCCCTAAAATGCTCCTGCTCTCCAACGGTACCACAGCTGTTAACAGTGCATTTAATACATGGATGCTGGTCGATCAAAACCTAGCATCAGCCCTTTTTTCTACCATTTCACCTGCACTACTGCCGTATGTTCTGACGCTAGATACTTGTCAAGAAATCTGGAACACCCTAGATCGCCGTTTACAGTCTACTAACCGATCTAGAGTTTTACAACTCAAAAATGAGTTGCATTTGTTGAAACTGAAAGATAAAACAATGCTTCAATATCTATCGGATATAAAGCATCGTGTTGACGCTATCCATGCAGCTGGTTCCAATATTGAAGATGAAGATATTGTGCTCTACACACTCAATGGATTGCCGGCATCCTACAATGCATTTAAAATTGCCATCAGAACCAAAAAACTCACAATTCATCTAGATGAGCTATATTCACTTCTGTGCAGTGAAGAAGTGAATATTGCGGCCGATCAAAGTATCGATCAACTTATCACCAACCCCAATGATTCTGCATTTGCTCTTACTGCATTCCGTGGTCGAGGTAGGGGACGCTCTAGAGGACGTTTCAACAATGCGCGTGGAGGTCGTGCATTGTCTAATCCTACCCCTCATAGTGGTGGACGTCGATCAGCATCTCATATTGAATGCCAAATCTGTTTAAAACCAGGATACTCTGCTGCTAACTGTTGGCATAGAGGTAATTTCTCTTATCAAGCAAATCAGCCGCAGGTGTACATTGCTCATGACGAACAACCCACCGTGGATTGGTTTCTGGATTCTGGTGCATCCAGTCACCTAACCACTGATGTATCCCATTTACAGTCGCCTCATCCGTATGCCGGAAGCTCAAATGTTCAGGTCGGAAGTGGACATTAGCTTCCCATCACTCATTCCGGTCAAGGAATTTTGCCAACTCCTACCAGTAAGCTCATCTTACCTCACATACTTCATGTTCCTCACATAACTCATAATCTTCTCTCGGTTCATCGCCTAACTCATGACAATCCCTACTATGTTCTATTTCATGCAAATGGCTTTATCATAAAAAACTCCACGACTCATCAGACTCTGCTTCAGGGGTCCAATCATCATGGGTTGTACCCTATTAAGCTTCCTGCCTCATCCAACCGAGTCTCCAATCCAAAACCAACCACTGCTCTCTTCAGCAATTCAGCTTCTATAGGCTCATGGCACCATCGTCTCGGACATCCTTCAGCAAACACACAGAAACTTTTATCTTCTCTCAGCTCTTCTAAAAGTTTTGTATCTCCTTGTGATTCTTGTATTCGTGCAAAGAGTCATAGAGAGCCATTCTCTTTATCTTTACCAAAAACTACAAAGTGTTTAGAATTAGTGCATACTGATGTTTGGGGACCTTCTCCAGTCTTGTCTATTCAGCATTTTAAATATTATCTAGTGTTTGTTGATGATTTTACAAGATATTGCTGGGTATATCCCTTAAAATTCAAATCTGAAGTGCTTCACACTTTTTTACAGTTCAAATAGAAACAATTTCAACACCCAATAAAAATGCTACAATCTGATCGGGGTGGCGAATTTGTTAACTCTCAATTCAATAAAATGTTACAATCCTTTGGCATACGCATAGACTCACATGCCCATATACACCTCAACAAAACGGTGTTTCTGAAAGGAAACACCGTCATTTGCTCGAGACAATATGGGATCTCATGTTTCATGCGTATGTCCCTCATCATTACTGGGTTGACACATTACTCATTGCAGCCTACTTAATCAATCGATTACCATCGCCTTCACTAAACAATATTTCACCTTATAAAAAAATTATTCGGACACCCACCTTCATACCAACACCTTCGGGTGTTTGGTTGCTCATGCTACCCGTGGATACCCCCTGATCATCGCCACAAATTTCAACCTCGGTCTCTTCCGTGTATCTTTCTTGGCTATACAACTCAATCAAAAGGATACAAGTGTCTTGATCCTATTACTCAAAAGGTGTATATATCTCGGCATGTGCAGTTTTTTGAACAGATTTTTCCTTTCAAAACTAACAACTCTAATCCTCTCACAGATACCACACCACTTAATGTGTCTAATCCGTTAATTCTCCTACCAAATCCACCCTCAGTTCCTACTACTCAATCATCTCAGCCAAGTGCTCTATCTCTGGTTTCAGAATACATTCCAGAAAATCATTTCCCTCCTTCTCAACATCTATCCAACACTCCGATTTCCATATCATATGAACAAGCTTCACCCGCAGCAACTCTAATTCCTCCAGCCCATACTTCTCGGCATCATATGGTGACTCATCAATAAACGGGACACTTAAAACCAAAACATTTCTTTGACTTACAACATACCATAATTCCCTCAACTCCCACTTCCTTCACTGAAGCAAACAAGCATTCGGTATGGCGGGCTGCTATGTCTGCTGAATTTGAGGCCTTAGTTGATCAAGGCACGTGGACTCTAGTTCCACCTCATCCCACTCAAAATCTTCTCGGCTGCAAATGGTTGTATAAATCCAAATTCAACCTGGATGGAACGTTCACTCGTCACAAAGCTCGTCTAGTTGCACAAGGATTCAAACAAGAATTTGGTATAGATTATACATATACTTTCAGCCCGGTAGCAAAATTTCCTACCATCCGACTCCTATTAACAGTGGCTGTCACTTATCAATGGCCTACTTTGCATTTAGATGTCTCAAATGCATTCTACATGGCCACCTTGACGAACTTGTCTTCATGAAACAACCTTATGGTTTCCAAGATCCATAATTTCCCCATTATGTCTGCCGTTTACACAAATCCATTTATGGGCTTAAACAATCTCCCAAGCAATGGTTCTCTCTGTTTTCATCTCATCTCCTTACTTATGGATTTGTTCAGAGTAAAGCTGATCCAGCTTTATTTCTCTACCATAAGGAGCAGACACAGCTATACCTCTTGGCCTATGTAGATGATCTTCTACTCACGGGAAATGACCAGATTGAAATAGAAAAATTGCTGACCAATCTTAATTCCCAGTTCCGGATGAGAAACCTTGGTACCGTTTCTCACTTCTTGGGAATTCAAGTGATACCTTACTCTACCGGACTGCTGCTCTCTCAGTCACGGTATATTACCGAAATCTTAAACAAAGCAGGAATGCTGGATTGTAAACCAGCTCTTAGCCCTTTATCAACTAAACTTCCGATCCCTTCTCATGAGTCGCAACTGTATCCTCATCCGCAACTCTACAAACAGCTCGTGGGCTCTCTACAGTATGTGACAATTACACGACCGGATGTGGCTTATGCAGTTAATTATTTGTGTCAACATATGCACCAGCCATATTTACTTCATTTTCAGCATCTGCAAAGAGTCTTAAGATACCTGAAAGGCACAACACATTACGCTTTCCCTATTATAAGCAGCACATTAAATCTTCGTGCTTTTGCAGACTTTGACTGGGCTGCTAATGTCCAAGACTGTCGCTCTATTTCAGGTTTTTGCACCTTTCTTGGGGACAATCTACTTTCCTGGTCAGTCAAAAAGCAACCTACAGTTGCTCATTCATCAACTGAGGCGGAATATCGGGCATTAGCTACTCTTGCTAGTGATATCCTTTGGCTGCGTCAGCTCCTTGCTGATTTTATGATTTTAACTCCTCAGCCTACTCCTATTTTCTGTGATAATGTTTCTACAATAGCACTAGCAAACAATCCTGTTTTCCATGCCCGAACTAAACACATTGAGGTCGATTATCATTTTATACGGGATTGTATTAAAGGGCAACATGTCACGGTGCATCATATCGCTTCTCACGACCAAATAGCCGATATATTTACCAAATCTCTATCGGCTAGCAGGTATCAACTTCTTCGTTCCAAGCTGACGATTCTTGAGCCATCATCACCTTGAGGGGAGGTGTTAACGGACCTGTTTAAGCTATCATGAGCTTTCCAACTAGTTCAGTCCACTACTCTGCTCTCTAACAACTTATGTACGGAATTCATCCTAGCCGTCTCTTTCTGCTTCCATCTGGACGGTTGATTATTAAGCTAAACCCATATAAATGTAATGTAATAGAGAGCTACAGTAGAGAAGAACGAATGATCAAACGAGATTACTCCCTTCGCTACCTGCTTCTCTCTTCCTTTGCTTTTGCTTGTTTCTCTAACTTGCAGGTCTGAAGCTTCAACAGCTAGAACATCCTTTTTCTTCAACACAGTTGCTGACCAAGAACGTTTATTACCTTCATTTTCATTGAGTGCACAAATTAATTTTGATGCAAAATATTTTTATTATATTCTTGGCTATTTTAAATGTCTAATTAAGGCTTCGTTTGGGACAACTTTAGATTATTGTTTTTTTCCTGCTTTCAAGAGATTTTTGAACTAAAAAGTTGCTTTACAAAACAGTAAGAAAGCTATTACAAACGAAGCCTAAAGCACTAACGATTCCTCAACAACCTTCAAGGATGGGCAAATTATTGGGTCAGGTGACCGGAGGGGAAAAATAAGTTCGGACATCCAATAAAAATTTACCGCGTCACCTTGCGCTTTAGTTGCACTTTAGTTGCGCTTTACCTGCGCTTTAGTTGCGCTTTTTGACTTGCGCTTTACCTGCGCTTTAGTTGCGCTTTAGTTGCCTAAGTATGAACCTAAAGCACGAAAAAACTATTCAAAACAGACCCTAAGTATGAACCTAATTGCCTCGCTCCAAGAAGCTGATTTATAAAACCACAAATAGTTTTCCAATCAACTCTTATTATTGGGATAATGAAAATTAATGTTTCCTCAAATTTCAAAGTTTACGAAGATTGTCAAGCCAACGAGAGGTCTATTTCAAGAATCTCTATTGAAACAGCTTAAATAATACCAAAAACTTCTTCTCAACATCTGTTACAACCCCTAAGGATTGTAAGGGATAAACAATATATTCGAGCTCATCGACAACTCCGGATAAACGATAACTTTGAACTCGCTAGGAACTCCATGAGAAGAGAAGGAGAAAGAAGAATTATCATATGTTTTTCATTCATATTAATGCCTGTCAATGGAGGTTGTTTATAGATGTATAAGACTACTTATAATTCAATAGTTATCTATTAAGTATTTAAGTATTCTATTCTACACAAAGTATTCTATTCTACACAACTTAAATATTAAGTCCATTTATTTGACTCAATTACTCTATCAACATCATCACTAAGTGACTCAGTGGCCTTATTAATTGCATTAACTTTCTAACTTAAATTTTGTAGACAAATTCTATTGAGGTGGATGAGTAGTTCAAGTTGAATAGGTGAGTTACATTGGGTGAGTACTTTAGTGAGTTATGCTAGTAGATTATTTGTCGAGCTTTAGAAGTCAATTGTTTTAGTTTTAGGCTAAGTTTGGGACAACATTCTTACTACTTTGAAAATCTACTTTTTAGTGGAAAAATCTCTTGAAAGCAGGAAAAAATAGTGGTATAAAGCTCTCCCGAATGAGCATTAATCATCAGAAGGCTTGTCGATGGGCAACTTTTGAGGAAGCGAGTGATTCAAGTCAGCATATTAATACATAGCTTCTCGAAGTTTATCCATATTTGCATCATGACTTAATTAACCTATAGTCCACATGAGTATGTGTATAGAAACCACAAAATTAACCAATTTCCTCTCTTGAAGGGAGTCCAATCTCATTTTAGAATCATCTCAAAATCTTAATGTCCTTCTATAAAGTTCATCTTATTTCCATTAAATAAATGTGGTTCCAATGAGCTCATAAATAAGAGATCATTTTATTTGACTTAATTTATTATTTATAATGCTCAATTCTATTCTAATTTTTTAATATCACTCTAATTTGATTATGGGGCTATTTTGTAGGTTGAAAAAGAAATGCTTTGTAGTTGTTTGAATGAGTGCAAAATAAAATCAGGTGTTTAGGATTAAGATTTCGTATGGGACAACTTTCTTACTACTTTCTAAAGTTGTTTTATAGCACAAAACATTTCGAGTTCAAGAAATTTTTGCACTAAAAAGCAGTAAAACAGCTGTCCCAAACAAAGCCTAAGAGATCATTCCCCACCTCTCGGTCTGAACCCGACGTCGACCTCCTTACACTAGCCGAACTAGAACTTCACTCCCCGGCAGGTATAACATTCTCCTCCTTTTTCCACTTCTTCTTCTCCCTCACACTTCTTCTTCTTCTTGTTTCTTCACTTCTTCTCCTTATATTCTCTTTGCTTTCTTTTATTTCCTCTACTCCTTCAAGAATAACAGCACCCATCACATAAGGTTGTGTAGAATTTATTTCACTTCTATTCTAGTTAATTTTCTGCAGCTTTTTGATTGAAGAACTCACCATGTTGTAAGTATTTCATTTAAAAAAAAATGAGATGGCTGGTTTTGTGGAATATATGTGTTCCATAATAAAGTCTATATTGTTGCCATCATTAAATATGTATAAAATCTGTAGAAGATCATGTTTGTAGATGAGTTATGTCATGTTATGAGTTGTTTAAAGAAGACCTCATGTGTGGGTGATGAAAAATATGACATCCTTCACCAAGATCATCCTTCACCAAGTGTATGGGAGGTGTTTGTAGTAATGTCCACTAGAGGTGTGTATATTTAAGCTTTGATCAAATAAGGTTGTTTGGAAGTGGGAACGTCATAGCACGATGGAAACATCAAATAGTATGATCTATGCTAGGTTTTAATGAAGAAGTTCTTACTATTTCCCTTGTTCTTTCCCTTTTTTCTTTCTCACTTGTTGGATTTCAATTCATTAAAGCATATTTCAGTTGATTGGAGAATTGATAGTGAATCTCCTTACTTTGAGCTTTCCTTGATATTTAAATATGAGGGCTTCATTCACTTCCTTTAAAGGTTAGAGTATTGTATACATATCTTTCATGGTATGGAGTTTTCTTTTTAATTGATGATTTGAATGGGTTGAAACTTTCATTTCACACCAAACAAAAGAAGGATTCATGTCCAACTTTCATCTTGTTCTCATTGAGAAATTTTCGTTTTAGAAAGTCATAAATTGATGTGATATTCTCTCCCATGTCATTAGATCATACTCTTTACATGAAGTTTTGGCAAGAAATACTTTGGTGATTAGAAGGATGGTAATTAATAGACTTTTGTTTGCTATGATTGGCTCTGTCGGCAAGAAATGCATATATAAAAACCTTGAGTTTTAGTGGCTTTGTTTAAATTAGAGATTTATATGAGAAATATAACTTCATGCTTTTATAATTGTGGTTTAGTCCATAACTGGAAGCTAGTTTGAGATCACTTACATGCTTGTGTCATCCGATTTGCGATTTGTTCTTTTTGAAATGAGCCATGTGGACTTTATGCTTTATTACTATGAGTTGGATTCAAAAAAAAAAAAAAAAAGAGAGAGAGAAATGAATGAGCATAACGATTTTATGATTCCCTTCTATATACATTCATGGTTGCTTTACTTGGAAAAATATAACTTTGGCTTTTGCCCTCAAATAAGTATGTTCCATCAAGATGGGTTTACGGAAATATGAAGGATGATTTAGTATATGTTCAAAATTCAATCTATGAACTTCAAGAGCACGTTTTCTTGCATTTCTTTAGTAACTTAATGATTGTAAGTTTTGGAGAGAAATGATTTTCATCTATTTTGTTCATTCTTTCGTAAGCAGTTAAGTTGGAATCATATGTTATATGATTATCTATATTTAAAGCAAGCAAGTTGGTATTAATAATCTCATATGGTAGTGAGAGAAAGTGAAGTTAAGATTTGAAGGAAGAATGTGAATTTCGGAGAGGGTTGTGTTCTTGATTATATCCTTACTCTAAAGAGTCTAAATGCTTTCCCATGTACTAGCAGGGTAAATTGTGGATTTGACAAGTTTCCTTATATATCTCATTTGGTAGCTTGTGTGATGCTTGAAAAAGCTTTGATTTGTTTTATGTCGGGAAGTTTTATGATTTACCTTATATTAAAATATTCTACGACTTGTTGGAGAACTTCATGAGGTGTTTGATGATTGGAAAGCTTTACTAATTGTTTTATGGTTGCAAGTCTTTAGAAAATGGTTTATGTGTTGGAAAAGAACTCTTTTGGGTCATGTGCTGGAAAGCATGCATATGATTCATATGGCTTTATCATGGATCTAATGCAATGATAATAAAAAAACTTTTCTCTTTTGGTGAGTTCCGTAAGTGTTTTGGAAGAAAATTTGGAGGTAGTTACAAGATTTCTTGGGTTCTTTTTGGATGAAACTTACAAGTTTGGTTTAAATCAATATGAGGTTATATGTTCTTCTTGCTGGATGATTTTCTTGGAGCTTTGGAAAAGATTTGGAGAGTCTCCGTGTTTGCTTTAACGTTTAAGTATGAATTCCCATGTAAATCTGATTCATGCCTTGTATTGATTGGAGAATTTTCTTGAGTTTTTTTTTTTTTTTTTTGAAAAGAATAAAATGCCAATGTGAGATCTTAAACTTAAGAGAATATGCCCCTTTCTTCTTGTATTTCTTCTTTTCAATAATATAAGATTGTCTTTGAACTTTTGGCAAGGCATTGTATGTTCGATATGAGAACGATTTTCATGAATTTGGGTTAGAAGTTCCTCTTGGAATTTTTGATGGCATGTGGCATGGAAGGTAGAAATTTGTTGGAAAATTTTATGAGATTGTCTCACATTTGAAAAGGTGGATGGCTTTGCTCTATATTTGAAATACATATGATTTATTTTGTATTGAAAAGAGTTTTGATGTATCTTATGTTTTTGAAGAGCTATGGTTTGTTTTATGATTGGAAAGATACCATGATTTTTTTTGTGCTAGAAAATCATGCTTCTTGTATTTCTTCTTGTTGGAAGGCTTTATGAGTTGTTTTGTGATAAGTTTTATGAATGTTTCATGAGGTTTTCTTGGCTTTA